TTAACGATACCATTCCTTCGTCAACCAGCCACTTCGCAGTATTCAAGATATGTTCATCTCGAATTTTGCTTAAGCTCTCAAGCTGTCTAGCTAATTGAATTTGCTGCAGAAAAGGATGGGAAATATCTCCCTTCAATTTCTCAGTCATAGATACTATGTTTTGTATCATTTCTTGTTGCGGAATTCCTTCCACGCATGTTAAAACGCTTTGCGCGTGCAAGATATTCAAATTGTCTTTGTAAGACCTGAACTCCAAGCTAGACACGTATCGCTCGAGATCTTCTTGAGTTTCACCACGGACAATTCTAGCTACTCCTTGTTTTAGTGAACCATCTGCCCTTTTTCTTCTTTTTGGCTGGCTTGGCGTCTCGCTTACACTTTCCTCCTACAAGTAAGATACAATATTTGAATAACCATCAGGGCTTTTGGGCGAATTGCAATTAAGATAGATTCTATATCAACGCTACGAGTTTCTGGTCAACCTCTTGCCGGCATAAAGAACTAACGCGCCAAGCGCGCAGCGTCAACAAACTAATCAGGGCGAGGTCTCAGGAAGTAAATAATTCCTGCATACATGGTGAAAATTTAGATTGAGTGTAGAAGGCGTGAACGTCTGAGGAAAGCTCCCTATTCCCTTCCAAACCACGGACCACTTGCAAAACAATATTACGTCTAGCATCAACACCGGCTTGTGCGTCATTGTGCACAGCGCAACTTGAACCTTTCTCAGTGCCCGCCGTGTCCGTGTCCGTGCATTGTTCTATTTAACAATTAGATTATGAGCTCAAGATTTCTATAAGGTGATAGTTGATGAGGCCGAGGGCCGAATCACTATCACTTCATGGAAATCGAGAGCGCATAATCTAATTGTTTTAGTAGAATTCTTACTAAAATTTACTTCAAATAACAGTTTCCAATTATTTCTTGACGCATTATTAAACTTTGCGCCTGAAAAAGGTCGCTCGGATTTAAGTGCCGTTTAAAATCGAAGTTGTGCGCGCGCATCAGCTTTTTCAATAATTTCAACTTTTTTAAAAGTCAAGAAACCCTAAATGTCCCTCGTTAGGCTTGTCCGAAATTCAATTATCCATTTGCATCAAAATTTTCCTCCAAAACTTGGGAAAAACGAAAAAAAGTCGCCGTTTCCAAGATGATCTCCAGCCACTGCACACTAATGGCTGATAGTGTTCAATGGTTCAGTCAATCCGATTACAGCATTTGCATTAGTATACCAGTAGAACTCTACTGATCAAGAACATAGGGTCAAAAGCACTGTTAAACGTTTTTTTAGCAATGCAGAACTTTCTTATATGGAGGTTTCACGGTGTAGCTTTCTATCTCAGTAACGATCTAGTGGCCCGAGAACCTCTCCTCTTTAAGTCTTAGTTTTTATTTGCTTACCTCGTCCTCTTCATCTTCTTGTTCTGCTGGGTTTTCTCCTACTTTTGTAGCCGCAGGTGATTGTTCGGAGATAACTTCCTCTTCAGAAACTCCTGAATGCGGAAATTGGTCTTCCTGGGTTTCTTGAGGAGTCGCCATCTGGATTTCGTCTTCCTGGGATTCTTGAGGAGTCGCCATATGGATTTCGAGTGATTGTTCGCAGATAACTTCCTCGTCAGAAACTCCTGAG